TCCCTGCTCTCTCCCTCCATTCCTTCCTCTCAGAAAGTCCTAAACGCCACCAAACAGGTGTTTGGCGGCAGGGGAAGTGCTGGGAGGAAGGGAGGGGGAGGAGGCAGAGAAGAGAAACTTGTGCAATGCTCCCTTGTAAAGTCAGCCAAATGATGTTATAAGAAAGCATTGCACAACTTTAAACGAGTATGTTCCCTAATAGAGCAGTAACGTAACTTCGAAACAACGTTAAGCGGGAGGATGTTAAGTGAGGAGTTACTGTATTTCCTAATGAAGGCCAGAAAGCGGTATTGGAACACATGCAATAGCTGCTGTGGGTGAATTACAGTGTTTTCTTGTCATAATGGTTACATTTCTTTGCAGGGTAATTGGGATACATCTGGGAGTGAACTGAGCGAAGGGGAATTAGAAAAACAGAGAAGAACCCTCTTGGAACAACTGGATGAAGATCAATAAGAACATTATTTATACCAAATACATTTACAGTAGGATTTAATAAAAGAAACTGATGTCTAATTCAGGACATGAGTTCTGATATTCTGAGTTCCATTGTTGAAATAACAGTGGGTTTTAATGATACTGCATAAAAAAATGCATTCAAGTAATATCATTATGGGGCCTGGCATCAAATCTAGAAAAAACAGAGGAAATTCAGAGTTAAAGTTGAAGTTCTATTCTTGACTTGCTAGGAAGCATATATATTCTGTACACCCTAGAGCCCTTTGATGAATGGAAGTTGTTTCACTTCTGACTCTGGGTCCTGCCTACTCTGGCCAGGGAAAGTATTAGCCCCTTTCTAGCAATCCATGTCTTAAACAGCTCTTTCTGGAAAGGTGCTAAACCTGCTTTTAGAGGCCAGTGGAGACAAGCTAAATTTCCTTTTTGGAAAGATTCAAAATGTAGTTTCTTGTGGCTTAATTGTCTTTGTGTGTGGTTTTTTTTGTTTTGTTTTGTTTTGTTTTTTTGGCAGGAGGAGGGAAATGGAGAGGGAATAATGAATCCATTTCTTGATTTATTGTAGTACAGAGAAGCACCAGAAACAGAAATTGCTTTTTTTGTGCACTACATTACCGGCCAAACTTATGGTTTTGATAATTTGTATTAAACAAAAAATGTGACTTCCTGGCTGAGACTTTCTATGTCAAGTTTCATCTTGGAGTGAATTTTTATGGTAAAGTTTTAAACCCTTACAAATAGGTGTTTATGATGGAAATCTGCTAGGCCTTTCATTACAGTGGCACTAGAGGGCGCTGCTGTAAAATAGCCACCATTTTTATTAAAGTAAAACCTGACATATATATTAAAATGGCTGAGGGCATTATTTCAGCATTTATCTTGATAAGAAAATTTAACATAAAATCAAATGGTAAATTAATTTCAATATGTTGCCTTAAGGACCTGCTGAAGAATGTACCACCAAATTTTAAATAGCAGTTGCAATATTAATGTAGAAAATCAATGTTATTCTAAACCTTTTCTTTAAAAAAAAAACTAGTATTGTTTTTAAAAATTCAGCTTCCAACCCCCACCCCCCTTTTGGTAGCCTCTGACCAGTTTTGCTTTGAGGAAAAGTTCTACTTTCCCTATTCAGTGACAAGTATTGACTACTGTGGTACACATTCTGAAACCTTTCTGATTTGAATATTTTTGTACATTTTTATCAATTATTAAATTTTGTCCTCTAGCGTGTACTGGTATTTATTTCTAGTTTTAAATACTCTGTACAGCTCTAATAGAAATAACTGCTATCTATGATTGATGGAATAAGCAACATGTGTTCACTCAATTTTTATTTTGAAGACTGTGTACAGAGTGTAGCTTCCTTTTCAGCGTATTAATCCCTTTTTCTAATACATATGACAAACGTTACCAGTACATAAATGCCTAAAAAGCCCATTTAAGCTCAAAGCCTACAACTGCAGCATTCACACAGAATATTTTCAGTAGGATGGGTAAATGAGTCACACTTTTTAAGGTTGCTCTTTGAGACTGAAACTTTTCAATTGAAAGAAAATATTTGAGAGACATATTTGGTCTGCTATATTCAGAAGGAAATGACAGGTTTTTGTATTTAAAAATATTCAGTATACACATCTAACATAACAAATGCTAGTCATCTATCACTACCTAACATACCTGTGAATCATTCCTTACTGAAGAAATACCTTATACGACTTTTGCCAGGTAGGGTTTGAGGTAAAGAATTCTAATAAATTGTATTTTATATATAATAAAATGTTTCATGCTAAATATCCAAAAAACTGCAAATGAACTAAACTGTTGGCAGTGGGACTGTTCCATATTTCTGCACCATGCCCAGCAACTATCCAAAGTGTGGAAAGTTGCAGGTTAGTCTGTGTGTCAGGACTTGAGCGCTGATCATGGGTATATGGCTATATAAAATCAGTTAGATTTTAAATATATATATTTTGCTAACCTTGTAAAATTCACTTCCCTGTGTTTATATTTTAAAAAAGCAAATACATTGGTATTGTAGCAATTAGGTTAACTCTATAGTGAAAAACAAAACCAAACACACAATTTGGGGGTGATAGTACGCAGTACACAGTTCATCATGTCTAATATTTGGTTTTACATTCACAGATTTGAGGAAATGTTTAAAGGTAGCAAATTAGTTTAGAATTTTTGACAGGTAATAATGGTTTTGAAAACACATTAGAATTTGTGTAAAATACTTTTATTGCCTAGCATAATTTACATGAAGAAACATGTTTCTAAGTAAATATTACTTTTAAAAGGTTTGTCTTTATTTTTCCATTAAAAATAAAAAATGTAACTGTAAATTATTCTAATGGAATGTATCTCTTTTGTATTTCTCAATCAGATCTTGCAAAAACCATCCCAATAGGAAATACAATCTCATTTAAATCTGTTTTGGCAAGGCACAGCTTGTTTTCTAATCTTGAGGGGAAAAAGTATTTTTCTCCTCCCTCCCTCAGAAAAAGTTTTGCAGCCTCATGTTTTTCAATGGATGGGACTGCTCCTTCCTTGAGTGATAGGAAGTGTTCTGCCCCTGGGTATTTCTATCTACTCAAACAGCAACAACAAAATTCAGTCTGTCTTTTTCCTTCTCAAAAGGCATCACAACCCCTTGATTTCAGATTCTGTAGTTGTCTTGAAATTAAAGGGATTACTGGCAAAATAAATTTAGTTTTCCTTTTATTAATAATGCTATTGATTACTAAAACAAAGAACGTTTAAAATATTAATCAGTGTTTGATTTGCTATTTGTCTCTTTTGCACAATGCTCAGGTTGGACTGAAAGTTAGCTTTCCTGGTTGTAGTCAGTTTCACTTGAATCCCAAGCACTAGCTTTAATGCTGTGGTGCTTGGGTTGCATATTCTGCTATCTTGAATCCACCCTTCTTCCCATTTTGTTTTGTATTTAAGCCCTTTTCAAAAATTTAAATCTAAGATTTGGTTACAAGATTTGTTCTCTTAAATTTGAGCTTTGCAATATTTTGTTAAATTGTGTTATCACTTACGCTGCTTACTACATTTATGGCATAATTTATTCACCACCACCATAAATAACTTGTCTGCCATTTTATTCTTCTTATTAGATTAAATTTTGCTGCAGAAATATTGTAGCACATCTATTTACACACATCTTTTATTCTTTTGCAGTGTATTTCTCATAATGAATTTTTGCCTGGCATCACTAAAAATCTTTTGAGATGGGGGAAGCAGGGAAGGAAAAAAGTCTTGGGGGTAAATTATCTGTTTAGCTGTTGTGATTTTTTTTCTTATTCAGATATTAATTAAATCTGTTCACAGGATATAGCTTTCTGGTGAGGGAGCTGAGCCTTGGTAAATACAAACCTTATATTCAAAGAGCAGCTGGAACTATACATGAAAGTGCTGAGAAAAGCAAATTCTTTTTCTTTTATATGACAGTGTCTCAAGATCTATTATCAATTGTACTGGAATAAGAAATGCTTGTTAATCAAAAGGTGTAGGATTTGAAATGTTTATCAAGGAAGTTAGACCAGGGTAAGACTTATGAAAATTAGTGACTGATAAACAAAAAAACTACCTTACATTTTTACTTATGGTACACCTATATCGAAAAGTAGGAGTGTTTATAAAATAACCATATTGTATATTGATTATATTTCCCAGAATAGTGATGTGTCCTTACTATAATCTCATTTCCTTGCTTTAGAGTACAGTTTTTGTACTTGGTTTAAAAACAGAGGAGGGATAGCTTAATGGTTTGAGCATTGGCCTGCAGGTCTTGTGACTTATTACCTCCACTCCCTGTTTTAAAAAAAAAAAATTGGCCTCTGCTCATCATATTTGCAGTTGCTACAAAAGAGGAGATATGTTTTTTCAAGCCATGAAAGGACCCAAGAACTTTTTCTTCCTACCCAGCCAGGCTCCTAAGAAACTGTTGTGTGGTAGAAAAAATTGGCAAAACACACTCTTGTGAAAAGGAGTTCTAAGGTTAAGAACACAAAGAAAATGGTCTTAATTCCTTCCTGGTGTAAGTCCACTGACTTGAATGGAGAAAATTAGCTATGTTTGAGGTTTCTAATGAGTGCCTTACCTCCACCTGCCTTGACTTTATATTGCCTATGTTTAATAACATTAGTAGGGAAATGGGACCAATCATGGCTTCACAGAGTGGAGTGCTGTGTGGGTGAGATTCCTTTCCATTTTTGCCATTACTATTGTTTGTCTGGGAAGCTAGGTTAAGCAGAATTTGTTGTGCAGTGTTTCTCGTCAAAACAAAAATACAGAATCATACGATGAGAAACCTTAGGTTTTGCAGAAAGTTGTGGCACAGGGCAGAAGCTGGTGAGAAAACTTGGAATTTGTAAACCCCCCCCCCCCCCGTCTCTGTTGATAAACTGCAGATATCAGACAATTATTTCTGTAAGAATAAGTTGTTCCATCATCATACTCATGATCCATCTGCTAGCAAGCTCTGCATAAAATAGTAGTATAAACATACGAAAGAACCATGGATTACTGTATAGTAGTGTAAATAGTTTATTTGATCATATGCCATGAATAGACCAGAAAAGTAACATGAACTGCTTTTATAAAACACTTCTAATATTGCTAAGAAGCAGGTCTATTACTAGAAAAACATCAAAGAGAACATGCCAATATTACAGTCCACTTGCATGGTAATATTTGCTGTCTACAGTTAAGTTATAAAAATGCTTTTGAGTTTACGAGTTTGACCCATTTGACTAATAAATGTACTTAAATTACATTGCCAAATTATTTTTTCTTATACAGATTAAAACTCTTTTGTCACTATCAGTGAAGAAAGAGGCAATCTTGGCATGTTCTCTTTTGCATGTTGATTACACGTTGCTGTAAATGAGACAATAGGTGGCAGTTTTAATGTAAACTTTCTGTAAATAGGGAAGCGGAAGTCAATGTGGTAACTTTGAGCCCCAAACTGTCCATTTAGTTAAATATAAAAAACAAAACTATAAGTTAAAATAACATTCAGATTGTATAGCACAGGGTGATGCATTTTTTTAAACAATATTTACAATATTACCCAGAGACTAAAGTGGGAATTAAAGAGAAGTGTAAAAACCATAAAAAACTGCACCAATTTTGTAGCAAAATATCTGTACATTTAAAAACAGATTCATATAACTACACATTATTCAAGGAAAATGGGACCTTCACCAGTGGTTCACATAAAGCACAACATAAAAGAAAAGAGATTCAGTGGTTAAATACTATACAATAAATTTTACAATTAACATACTGATGCAATGCTACCAGGAACGGTAAGCCACAAGCAAAATGTATCTTCTCTGAAAGTACAAATTTAGCATCAGTCCAGTTCTTGACTTTGGAATAGATCAAGTGCCCTGCCATTGTAGGATAAAATAAAATTCCATTATAACAATAAATTGATCTGCACCAGTAGCACTGTGTTTATATTTAAAATATTGCCAAGCCTAATAAAATAAGCTCAGTTTTAAAGTGTAAAATGCAATATATAAGATAAGAATTTAGAAGTTGGGATGCATTTGAACAACAAATGTCCCTTTGTATTAAGTGATCAGAACTCGATTGTCAAAGGAAAAACATACTTACTGGGTTACCATTCTTGCTCAATGCAGATGCAAGTTTAAAGCTTATAGATGGGGTATTAAAATCCTCTCTCAGCAGGGCACAAGATTATTTCACTGAGTTAATAACTGAACCATAATGGTCCTCAGAAATCCTAATACTGATTAATGAGATGTTAATATCTTAGTGCTAATTAATAAATACACTTTGTTATTCAAAAGCTGCCTCTATTTGAAGAACGTAGTAAATGAGTCTTATACAACATTCTTGTTTCATAGATCTTTGCAATGCATTCATACCCTCCAACTATCCCACATTGCACACTGGCATATAAAAAGCAGAATCTGAACATGAAGAATAGTTCATGTTCATTTGATATAAACCTTGTGTTCACTGAATTATGTCTTTAACACATCTTATTTGTATTAGTCTGGGATTTGTATATGGCTGAAAGGTACAGTTCATTTTGTAATTACTTCCCCCGTGCACATGGTAAGCCCTTATATATATAAAAAGCTAATAAGTGCAGTTGAAGCTCAAGGTTAATTCCTTAGAGGACAGGACAGGAATGCATTGAAAAGCTTAAGTCCACAGCAGATTGCATCCAAGTATTACTTATTTACAACCTGTCAGGAAATCAAGAAGGGCCACTGAAGACCAATTACTAAATTTCATGTAACAAAAAAAAAAATCATGTATTTTACATTTTGGTTAAAAATACTGAATAATGTGTTGGTGTAAAAAGATACCCAATCAAATCAAGTCCTATTGCTTTGATTAATTTGAGCAGGTACTTCAATTTTAGGCACTTGTTAGCTATGGTTGAGTAAAGAGCCCATCACTTTTACGTTCCTATGCATTTTCTATGTCTTTTTGAGCCCTTTAGAAGGTAATTTTACTGTATTCAAGGCTATAATTAAATGGTAGCACATATAGTTCACATGGACAAGGTATCATTCAAGCACACGCTCTACTTTTCACATGCAAATCTCCAGCTCACATGGTTATTTCAGCACCATTTACAGAGCGCAAGTTCTGATCATCAAAACGTCGCCTAACGCTTCTCCTTACCGCATCGGCTCGTCTGTATGGCTGGTTTCTAAGATCTGCAAAAAGGAAATCGGATATCAGAAACAGGTAAATTAAATGTCATTTGTTTAGAAAAGAAAAAGTCCTTCTGGCAGCCAATCAAAGCAGCTTGTGTAGAAAGAGTAAAGGGCCTTTAAACCCATTGAGAATTAAACAAATATGATTTGTCCTTTATTAATAAACACCAAAAAAGGTAATACTGGTGGTATTCTTGTCTAAATAGATTCATGCTGTCAAGTTTTAAGTTTTTCTTCTGATTGGCTGGAGATTATAACTTTATTTTTAGTAAAGTCATTGTGAAAGGCAACATCTATTGGAATCAATAGAGCTGAAGTAGGTTTTTGGGGTTTTTTTAGATATAATCACTAGAATCGTTGCAATTTGATCAGTAAATTTTTTTTCTGAAAGGGGCTGGAAGCTGTATAAAAACTCAAAGTAGGATAATGTTTTAAATTGTTCTTTCCAGAGCAAGAAAGACTTATAGAAGGCATAAAATCAATCTTTGGGGGGAGGGGAGCATGGGAAAAGTGGATACTAGACAATTACTATATGGTAAAAATGTAAAGGTTCTATTCTGTTCCATTGCTACTAGTCTGACGAGGATCCAAAAATACTTTCCCCCTTGGCTGCAGCCACACAATGATGACTTCATGCTTGCATGAGCAGCTAAATCTCCACCCATTCCCAGTGAAGTCAGAAATTACAACAGGGATAAATTTGGGTCATAATCTATCTGTCCTGATGAGTGCCATTTACGGAAGTAGGCCTCTTGGGAATGACGACTGGGGATATACTGAGCACACTCCGTATGTCCCTTGATATCCTAATACGGGGAAAATTTCTTCTGCCAGGGAAGAAATTTCAGTGAGGCTGGGGCACCTGAAGCCCTTTGCATATCTTTGCTTATATGGCTTTTCGAAGTCGTGGCTGGGTTAGTGTTTTGTTTAAAGGCAGCTCCTGGATCCCCCCAACCATGTACCATCAGCAAGGGCAGCCAATGGGTGATGCTCAGCTGCTCCTGTCTGCACATGGATTTGTACAGCTTCTTGTCTATCTCTTAGGGATACTGCACATGCTCCAGAAGCACTGTGTGGTACAGTCCTGGCAGCAGCAGAACAGGCTGGGGAACAGCTCTGGGGTGTGATGGGGCATAGGACACTGCTAACTATTTGGGGCAAATTTGGAGGGGCCAAATTTTTGGACCAAAATGGAAAAAGGGGCCAGGGAAAGAGGGCACCAGTCAGAGTAAGCACTCATGGTTCTAATAAATCAATCTTTTGGTCCTGTCATGAGTACAGGGGCCTGGACTAGATGACCTCTCAAGGTCACTTCCAGTCCTATGATTCAATCTTTTATAGTTTGGTAAAAGCCACTTCATTTTATATGAAAAACGTCTGGCATTTTTTCCATCTGTCCCCTGTTGGTCAATCAGAATGCTGGATGTATAGCCCTCTCTTTTGCTAACAGTTCAACCAGGGAGAGGGAACAGGGCTTTCACCCTCCCCAACTGAGTCGGAGA